TAGAGAAGAAAAGACATAGGAGAAACCTTGGAGCTGTTGTTAAATGCCTGTAAAGAAGTAATGTGGAAGAAGTGTTAGATTTATTATGTTTGGCCCCAGAAGGCTGCCCTAGAAAAGATGACTAGAAATCATAAAGAGGCAAATTGAAGCTTGGTATTTGAAAAAACAGGTCGTAACAATTAGATCTATTCAAAATGGGAATAGATTGCCATAAGGGGTAGTGGGTTCTCCCCTCCTTGGAGGTCTTCAGGTGAAGGCTGGATGACCACTTGGCAGCTATATCATAAAAGGATTTTATGGACTACAGGCAGACCTTGGAGATATAGTGGGTTCAGTTCTAGACCACTGCAATAAAGCAAATATTGCAATAAAGCGAGTCAAATGAATTTTTTAATTTCCCAGTGCATATAAAAGTTAAATTTATACTATACTGTAGTCTATTAAGTGTGCAATAGTATTATATAAAAAAGTAGTGTACATACCTTAATTAAAAAATGCTTTCTTGATTAAAAAAATGCTAACCATTATCTGAACCTTCAGCAAGTCATAATCTTTTTTGCTGGTGGATGGTCCTTGCCTCGGTTTGATAGCTGCTGACTAATCAGGGTGGTCAGTTGCTGAAGGTTGGGGTGGCAGTGGCAATTTCTTGAAGTAAGGTAGCAAAAATTTGATTCATTGATTGATTCTTCCTTTCACTTGAACATTTAGAGGCCATTGTAGGTTATTAATTAGCCAATTTCAATATTTTTGTGTCTCAGGGAATGGGCAGGCCTGAGGAGAGGGAGAAAGATGGGGAACAGCCAGTTGGTAGAACAGTCAGAACACACACAACATATATCAATTAGGTTTGCCATCATATATGGGCACGGTTTGTGGTACCCCAAAACAATTGCAATAGTAACGTCAAAGATCACTGATTACAAATCACAAACAGATATAGTAATACATATAAAACATATAGTAATAATTACAAATCACAAGCAGATATAGTAATAATGAAAAAGTATGAAATATTACCAAGAATTATCAAAATGTGACACAGAGACACAAAGTGAGCACATGCTATTGGAAAAATGGCACCGATAGACTTGCTCAATGCAAGTTTGCCCCAAATCTTCAATTTGTAAAAAACACAATATTTGTGAAGTGTAGCAAAGTGAAGCACAATAAAATGAGGTAAGCTTGTGCAGATTGGACCAATCAGTGGTTTTTGAAATTTTTTTTCTGTTATGGACCCCTTTAATAGTCTGGTGATATCTATGGACCCCTTCTCAGAATAATATTTTAAAATAATTGAAGGATGCTAAATTTCACTTAGAGGTTAGTGAAAATATAGATGTAACTTTTTCCCATCCAAGTTTCTATCATTATTCCCCTGAAATCTACCGATGGACCCCTCTGGTGTCTGTGAACCCAAGGTCAAGAACTACTGGAGTAGATTGTTACTGATGCTCCTTCCAACCCTAAGTTCCTGTTTCAGTGTGTATTATAATAAATGGCCTCTGAGGTAATATTCAGATCTGAGAGTTCATGGTTTATGAATGAATGTGTTGCCTGCCAAAAATAAAAGTTTAATGCCAAGAAGAGACACTTTGGGTTTGCCCCCAAAGAAAACAAGTTGTCTAACATTAGGCAGATTTATCGATTTGAAAATTTTTAATGCTCAAATGGATCTGTGATATCATGGACTGGTCATACCTCCAGTGATGCAAAATGCAACCCATCTCTGCCCACTCATCCCACTGTTTGTGGAATCCTGAGATAAAAAAAAAAAACTTAACCCACCTCGTTGAGGACCATACAAATTACTTTTTTCAAATCCCCATTTTAGCAAACTATTATAACCTGATTTAGACACAAATATTTCCCATAATTGAACTGAAATATATTCTCCCACAACTTCCCCCTGTCTAGCTCTAGCACTCTTGCCAGCTCCTCTTCTATCTTGGTAAAGATGAGATATGTTGGACTGTACCTTAGAAGCTTAGAGCACAAGATTTTGAATACAGAAGTATAAAATAGGTTAGGACAAAGTCTTTGGAACAAAAGTAGAAAGTCTTGTGGTTTCAGTTCCTCATTACCCATTGAACTATGGGTAGTTGTCAGGCACATCAATCCTTCTTGCTCCCTGTTTTAAGTCTCTTTTTCTGCAAAAAGCAAAGAGATCACTCTTGTTCCCTTCCTGTTTCATTGGGATATCATGAGAACATGTGTAAAAGCAATCAATTTTTGTTATTTAACATGAAGTTTATTCAAATATTTTTGAGAAAAGTCTAGATCAGGGAAAAAACTCTTTAACCTGCAAAGATAGAAGGGTTAAAAAAAATTAGAGGGAGGAAGGGGAAACATTTATAAGTGATATTCAAGATCTTAGGAATCCTTATCTTCCTTCAAAGCTTATCTCAGGTGTCACCACCTCCTGCTAAGCCTTTTCTGTCCCATTTCCCTAATTGTTAGTGCTCTGGCTCCTCAAATTACCTTGTATTTACTTGTTGGTTTATTTTTGGTATCCACCAGTCCAATTCAGGCTTCTTGAGGCCAGAGATTATTCTGGTTTAGGCTTCATATCCCCAGTGCTAGCTAGCATAGTGCCTTGCACATAGTAGGTAGCTATTTCTAAACATTGAATTGAATTAACTGACCATTGCCTACTTAGTTGTTTAGAATCTGTAGTAGGAGCTCAATAGATATTTGTTGAAGTTGAAGAGTTAGAAGACTTCATATGTTAATGATAGAACATGATTGGCAGTGGGTGGGGGCAGGGGCAGGGGCAGGGAGTAGGGATAGAGAGCAGAAGAAGCATCAGTAAATGAATGACCACCTATTTCCTATGGAATTACAAGAAGACAAGAAGCAGGTTGTGAAATCTACATGTGAATGTAAGGAGAATGTGAGTAAACAGAGAGAGTATGCGTCAAAATATACATACACACACACACAGAACATGACCATATTCTTGGTATCATACTCTCAATGATTGGGGCCAGAGGGAAAGGAGAAGGAAAATCTGTGCTAGAATATCTCAAGAGTTAGCAGGACAATTACATGTGAATCTAAGAATGGATCATCCATGGGCTAGTGGCAGAAAGTAATTCTATGGTCCTGACATATATATATATATATATATATATATATATATATATATATGTATGTATGTATGTATGTATGTATGTATGTATGTATGTATGTATGTATATGTATATATATCATTAGAGCATTTGAAATCTTTGATTTAAATTAATCTGTATATAGGAACCTCTCTGTGAGATACAAAATTAATTAGTACAACGTATAGCAGTTGTTTTTTTCTCCTTCCCCCAAAAGCCAGTTACAAGTGTTGCATCCTCCCCTACTTTTTACTTCCAGTACCACCACGTGTATTTCCTCTTCTTTGGACTTTGCAATAACTTCTTAATTCATCTCCCTGCCTTCAGTGTTTCCTCCCCTCTAATTCATTATTCAGTTCAAATTAATTTCCAAAGAACACCCTACCACCAGTACAGATTCAAGAGTGGCAATCAGCCTATTAGAAAAGAAACCATGCCTAGCTCCTGAAAACCAATATATCTCCTCTGCTTCATAGATCTGCCTACAGGGCGGGTAACCAAAGATAAGGAGAAATGAGTGACCACGAACCAAAGCCACTTTAAAGACAAATTCATTTGCTAGAGACCCTCTCTTGCCCCCCCCCACATTTTTTTAAAGTCCTAGTCAGAGAAGCTGATAGATATGTAGTATTAACTATTATATTGGTCAACAAATCTTGTTTGTTTTCCCAAAATTGTTTCAACTATTGCAGTAATAAAATATTTGCGAGCACAGTTTACAGAAAGAAAGAATACATTAAATACAAATAGATTTTTTACACATTTTTTTCCTTTTGTAATTTGAAATCAACATTATTTTGTTTACCTCCAAATTCCCTTATATGCTACCCAGGAAAATCTAGAGTCTCTTAGTTATTAACTAGCTTGTTTCTATAATCAGAATCACTGCCAATTATATCTATGTAAATCCCAGTACTCAGGCAATGTGAAAGGGGCCCTTTGTTCAGAAAGCTTGTGCAGGAAGGACTTTCACTACAAGCTTTTCCTTTGAGAGCTGTCCAACTCTCTGTAAGGATTACCAGGTTATCTTTATGTTCTCAGTCATATTAACCCAAAGTAAAGTAAAACCTTTTAAAAATTATTTTTTAAATAGTTTTCATTATTTAGTTATGTAAGGGGGCAGTCAGAAAGAAATCATACTTTAATTTCAAGTATTTTAGAAAACTCTAATCTTTAGGGACAACAACTTTTTAGTGTTTCTGTTTAATATTTATATAGCCAGTTTAGGTAGTAATAGAACATTTAACTCCTCAACCTTAATTGGATAAATATTATACTCATTTAATAATAATAGGCCACATTTATAGAAACACTTTGTGGTTTGTAAAACATTCCTCTTTGATGACTATAATGATTTTGCTCATAGAACATTAACACTTAACTTAGGAAAGTTAATTAACTAGAGTCCCTTATATCTTCCCTTACAAAATATAGTAAACTGAAAAACTGTTTCCATATCATATTAAAAAAAAAGAGTTCGTGATTTAACTATAATTCTGTTGTTAAGAGTCTTGTTAGAAAATACAGGGTGTCCCAAATGTCTTAATGTATTTAAGCCTCAATAGCTTAGGATAATAGCTTTTAATAGTCTTTTTAAAGCTTTCATAGCTTAAAACTGCACTAAGACTTTTTAGATATCCTATACGTACCATTTGAAAGTTTTTCTTAACAACTTCCTTGGGTTAAGTCTCTAAAATTTCAGACATAGGGGGATTTGCACAGAACCTGGAGAAGACGCCATCTGTATTTGAAAAAAAAAAAAACTTTTCAAATGGTTGAGGAAGGACCAAAAAAGCACCATAGAATATTAACTCAGAAAACAAAGCTGAATAGCTTCTTTTCTTGGGTGATGCTGTCTTAGCTACTAACCTAATAGTTTCCTTTTTCTTATAGGTACCAGCGATTTGAAAAGGCCTTTCTCCTAGCTGTTGATATTGGTGCTCGGGACCTGTTTATGGTGAGTCATTGCTAGAGACGATTGTGTGTCTTCAACTCTCAGGCTGAGTTAGTTGTCAGCTTTTGTGGCCATTAAAAAGGATTAGTGTCATTTGCAGCCTCAGACACATGGTGGGAAAAGCATTATTCTTCTTGGCTTGTACCTTTGCCATCATGAAACTGGTCAATAGCTATCTAGTTATCTTTTGACTTGTTGACATTTTTCTTACCACGGCCAGAAGGCTGTTTAATGTTTTTTAGGAATTCATTTATAGTCCTTGAACTTTTATCCTCACGTGCCTCAATGTGGGTAGGTGACACCTTTCTATCTAATAAGCTTAAATGTTTCTAAATCCATTCCCTTAAGACTTACAGCTGCAGAGGCCAAGACACAAGGGCAGACCATGTCCTGGGGATCTTGAATTGCTCTTAGTTTGTTTCTTAGGTTTCAGTGAAAAGTGACAAATTATGAATGCTTCCAGAAATACTTTTAGTCACAAAGCTGCAAGGTAGACCCAAGGGACTTTTGATTTCCTGCACTCACTGGACCTCCCATTTAATTAGCTACAGAAGTAAAATTAACCAGCTCTTTTAAAGGTTCTGTGTTCAGGCTCCACATGGGGCTCTTGTTTTATTAGGCCTTGCACCACAATGTCACAGTGAGGTCAGAGGGACAAAGACAACTGCTTTCCTAATTTCACAGCATGTCGCTGCTCTGCAGCCCATTTCATTGTTTTCAAAGAAACAATAAGAAAAAGCTCATTTAAAAAAAAAAAGAAAAAAATATGGTAAACCCTTTTGCTTGATTCTTTTGCATAATGAAGACATTCTATGGTTTAAATTAAACTTTTGACATTAAATATTACTATCAGATTATCTCATTGTCACTTTTCTCCAGTGCAATCTTAGTATTTAAATTCTAAGTTTTTTTCCAGTTCTTTTTTTTAGTTATAAAAAATTCCTCTATGATTACATGAAATTTTTTACCTTCTGACAGTTTTAAATATCTGTTTCTGTTACATCCGATTAATTGCATATAAGCTTTTCAAATACTATACCTAAAAACTATAATTAAAATATCTACATTTTAGCAAATTTGATGTACACAATCTTGAACTTCTTTATTTTCCCCTATTTCAAAGAAAATTTTTTTTCATGTTTTCCATTTTTAAATATAAACTTATCACTAGCCACCTCCATAACAGGAAAATAAAAGTAAAAGTATTTATTTAGTTGTTTGAAGTCTAGTGGTTAAAAATTACTCAGCCTCACAATTAGTATGGTTTTTCCCCCTTAGATGTTGAATTTTTTAATTACTGGTGTTTACTCTGGTTACTGGATAGTACAATATATCAAAGTTGATTGCCAAACTTCTCTCAGATCATATCTATTTTATCTCAAAGTTTTTTCTGAGCCTGCTTTTCTCCATTGGTGTGTTCAGTTATTATTATTAGCATCCAGTGGTGACAATATTATTAACGAGAAGTCATTGAAGATTCTAACATTCTTTTTTAGAGACATTTTAAATGTTATTTCAAATCTCCTTTTCCTGGCACATATCAATCCAAGTATAATAACAGCTAGAATAATTTAAAATTAATTGTGATACTTTTAATAATAAAATCATGTCCACTTTAAAATAGGTTTTGTTCTTTAATCTATTGTATATGCTGAAAGTATAAGAAAATAAAAGCAACTCAAACAGTCTAAGGCGCGAGGAGAGACTCTCTCTTGTGTCTTTGTCCCCTTTATAGACAAAGCAGTCTTCCCAAAGGCTGATTGGATTCTTCTCTGCAGGGGACTCCTCCCATTAAAACATGTGGGTCACCTTAAATAGGTAATTAAATAGCTTCAGTTTCTTTTTTGCTTTTAAAAAGTAAACAAGATTTTTACCCTTATACAGCAGAAAGTCCCGCCATCATTCATTGTATGAAATTTTGATTACTCATTTCAGAGGCTGCCTTATAGAAGGTGTCCAAAAGCATACTCAGTCTTTAAATGAAAGTTCTAAGCACATAAGCAGTTTATATAGAGCATTATTGTTTTCCATGTAAAAATCTTCTACATAAAGATTTTGTCATTTCTTATTGAGGTTACATTACTGTGATTGTTTCACTTATATATGACAATGTAAGATGTCAGTAAACTACTTATTGAGGTATGAAGAGGATTAGCAATCCAAGTAGCTCATCTATTGGCATGATTTGAATGACCAAGAGGCTTCCTTACCCAAAAATATCTGCCTTAATAGTTTGAATATGCCACCTATAAGATTGCAAAGAGCTAAATTAAAAGGATTTTACCTCCAAAAGGTCACAATTGAAATGTACTTTATTACCTAGAAGCAGCCCTGTAGTATTAGTACCTATTGATGATAATAAGGTACAGGACAGGTAAGTTTCTTGAAGGTTTGGGGGTGAGGGAAAGAATGAAGACATAACAATAATTAGCCCTGGATAGTTGTTTTAGGTCACTGGATTGCTGGATGTAGGATGATTTTTAATTTGGGGGGTGGAGGTGGATGTGAGGAGAAGAAAGAGAACATGAAGCAGGGTAATGAAGATAATATTTGTCTATTTCACAGTTTTGCCTAATGTTGACTCTGAATATAAACTTACATTATGATTAATAATAGTAATATCTAGACTTTTCAAATGTCTCAATATATGTCTTCCTTTGTTAGTAATTGGGAGCAGAACTTGAAAGACATAAAATAATTTATTAAAGATTTCCAAGTTGGGTAGAAAATGGACATGGCTTACCAATAACATTTCCTCACCAGAATGTATTGATGCCACAGCCCATGACAGTAAAGTGAGAAAGAAAAATAAAACATTTACATATATATAACATTTTGTGGATAAATAATTTGGGGGGTAATGTGGTAAGATCATTGAGGAAGAGCTAGAGAGAGTAATAAAGATGGGAAGGGTGAGAATGAGAGAGGTCAAGTGAAACAGTCAGCTCTTCTGATTGATATTAATCCCAGAAAATTGGAATTTTCCCCGACCATAGGATAGTGCTGGAAAAAAGAAAAAGAGATTAAATCAAGTTATTACTGTTTGCTCCCAGTGGAAATCTATACTTCCCATTTCTTTGAGCACAATCTTTTAGCAATGAAGTTGTAAGGACCTCGTTCTTTACTTTTTGTTTGTTTTAAACTTAATAATCATCAACAGACAAATCACCACATAAACATGCAAAATAAGGAATTAAAACTGAATTTTTAACAAATTGGCCCAAACAAATTAAGAGATAGCAAACAAGAAGTACTTTTCCTATGTTTCTCTTTTCAAATCTGTCTGAAGTTTTACTACCTTTATTTTTTTATATCTATTTCATTTATACATAGCTTTATATATAGTTCAATGCACATACAGTTCTGCTTCTGCTGATCATGCTTTTGTAATCTCTTCATATGGGTCATTCTGTGTATCTTTTTATTTATAATTACTGTTTATTCATAATTAAATAATTAATAATTATTACATTATTGTACCCTAATATATTGGGCTATTCTTTGATTGTTTTACATATTAGTTGATTTTATTTATTTATTTTTTGCTATGACTAAGTAAAAGCTAATAAATGAATGTTTTGCATAGCTTTGACTATTTTTGTAAAGTAGCTCCTCCCCCCCCATGGTTTTTTTTTTAGCATAAAGCAATAGCAATGAAATCTCACAGTTAAAATGTATAACTAGCTTTATGACTTCCTCTGTTTGGACATGTTGTTCTCCAGAATGTTTATTCCAATCTACAATCCTTGTAAAAATATGTTATAGAGCATTTTTATAGAGCTTAAAGGGACCTAAGAGATACAGGTTTTGATTTGGTAGGGATCTTGAAGGTCTTCTAATCCACATTTGTTTTGTTTTTTGTTTACTTTTTATTTTCAGTTCCAAATTTTCTGTCTCCACCATCTTCCCTCTCCCTACCCACCCATTTTGACATGACAAGTGTTTTCAAAAAGAGCTGCTATAAATATTTTTACATCTATGGGGTTTTTTTCTTTTTCTTTGATCTCTTGGGGATACAGAATTAGTAGTGGTATTACTGGGTCAAAAGGTATACACATTTTTATAGCCCTTTAAGCATAATTCCAAATTGTTCTCCAGAATGGTTGTATGAGTTCGTAACTCCACTAACAGTGCATCAGTGTCCGTCTTTTTCCACATCCCCTCCAGCATTTGTCATTTTCCTTTTCTGTCATCTTAGTCAATCTGATAGGTGTGAGATTCAGAGTTGTTTAATTTACGTTTCCCTAATTATTAGTGAGTTAGAGCATTCTATATGATCATTGGTAGCCCTTATTTTTATAAATGTGGCTCAGTTCCCTATATATCTGAGAAATGAGACTTTTCGCAGAGAAACTTGCCATAAAAATCTTTTCCCAGTTTCCTGTTTTCCTTCTAGTTTTAGCTTCATTTAGTTTTGTTTTGTGCACAACCTTTTAAATTTCATGTAATCAAAATCATCCATTTTACTTCCTATGAATGTCTCTGTTTCTTGTTTGGTCATGAAATTTTCCCTTATCTATAGATATTGCAGATAAATTTTCCCATCCTCCCCTAACTTGCTTATAATTTCATCCTCTATGTCTAAATCACATATCCATTTTGGTCTATGCCTAGTTTCTGCCAGACTGTTTTCCAGTTTTCTCAGAAGTTTTGGTCAAATATTGAATTCTTCCCCTAATAACTTAGATCTTTGGATTTATTCATTTTAAATGTGGTCATTTACTTCTGTTTATTGTAAAGCTAATCTATTCCATTGGTCAATCACTCAGTTTCTTATCCAGGACCAGATTGTTTTGATGATTGCCACTTTGTAATATAATTTGAGATCTGCTAGTACCTCTTCCTTCATATTATTTTCACTGATTCCCTTAATATTCTTGAACTTTTGTTCCCCCAGATGAACTTTGTTATTATTTTTTCTAGTTCTATAAAATAATTCTTTGGTAGTTACTTGGAGTAGCATTGGATAAGCAAATTAATTTAGATTTATTGTCATTTTTATT